ACCTCCAACTCAGCCTGACCTCTCCTGAGTGTGTCAGCTCACCCCTGGGCTTCAGCAAGAGTAAACCCACTCCCCACAGCCTTCCTGAAGCCATTTCTTTACCTCTGAAGCTGGTGAGTGAGCAGAGCTGGCTGGTTTTCACATGGAGCTTGCAAGGGTGGAGATGGCTGGGGAGGCCGGATACAGTCCTGAACCAGGCACCGCAAGAAAACAAGAAGTGTTTGCAGTCAATAATGTCTCAGTTAGTGAATTTGGAAAACACTGACTGGTGAAGCAGGATATATCCAGATTTGCTGAACCTCAGTCCCTGACTGCAGCCCTGGCTACCACAGCAGCTGTGCAAACATCTCTGCTGAAATCCTTCAGGCTCAATTCTTGCTACAGCAAGCCCAAACTCCCCTCCCTCAAACCCCCTGGGACCTGCTCAGGAGTTTGTGTCTGCAGCAACGAAGAAAAACACAGCTAAGCTTCAGCAGCTCTGGCTCAGGCTCCAGTACCTGAATCTGCTGATGAAGAATCTGATGGTGCTGCTCCTGCTGGTACAACATGTGCTGCTGCTGGGTCTTCTCCAGCGTCCTCTCATCCATGTGCCCACCGTACATCTTCTGCAGCTGCTCACACTCCTGCAAGGAATGCAGCACGTCCTGTGAGTGACCTTGCCCTGCACAGCACATTGCTGTGTGGAATGGCAAGCTCTGCAGCCCACCCTGCTGCAGAGAGCTGGCAAAGGAAGCCTAATCCATTTAATCTGACAGAATCAGGTGCGCAGTAACGTGGTGAGAAAACAGAGAGGCAGCGCGTGCACGTGACACGGAGCTGGCACCGCTGTGGGCCCTTAACGCAGGCACCAAGCTCTAGGAACGACACCTCAAGGGGAGGAGAGCAGCTCATTTCTACTGTGCTGCAAGGTGAAAATCCTGTGCTGGGGCCAAGTGCTGCTCCTGCCATTGGCAACACATCCCTGGCTGCGTAGGGAATGGCACACAATACGCTCCAGGCCCTGGTGGTAGGATCTGCCCTTTGCTGGGACACAGCCCCAAATCTGCTGCCATGGAAGATGTGGGAGAGCAACAGTCACAGCCCAACAGTGCTGGTGGGACCCGTGGGGCAGGGAGGACACCCATGGGTGGGCACAGCATGCTGTTTCCTCCCTGCAAAAAGGGTGTGGAAGACCCCACATCCCCAGCTGCAGGTGAACAGCTTGTACATTCAGAGGACACTCAGGGAGTGCTGCAGTCACACAGAGAGGGTGGAACGTCTCCACTGTGTCCCCTCAGCCTTTAGTGTCAAGAAATTCACCTCTGGCTTCCTGAAGCAGCAATAAAAAGCCCTTGTGGAGGCCTCTCTTACCTGCTGCAGCTGTTTGATGCTGCTGTTGTTGCCCATCTTCTCCAGGTGGGCTTTGAAAGCCTGGATGCTGGCAGCACCGTCGGAGAAGCGCCGCACCGGGGAGAAGCGCTCGGTGGGGAGGTGCAGAGTGTTTGAGTCCTTGTAAATAGAACTGAACATGGGGAAGGGGGTTAGTGCCACCAGCCAAAGAACAAACTCCAGTACAGAGACATATCGTTTCCACCGGCTGTGCCAAGTTCTACTTGCACACTCACGCAGAACAGGCACAAAGTGCCACCATCACCGTGAACAGGACCCAGCAGCACTGAGCACCCTCAGTGCCTGGGCAGGTAAATGTGCTGTAGACTGGAGACAACTCAGCCACAGATCAGATTCCTGATGGGCAGCAACTCACTGTCCATCCACACAGATGGATCTGTCGCTCAGACAGAAAAGGTTTACAGAAACCACTCAGCACCCTAACAAATCTAAAATTCACCTCTTCAGGAGCCACTTCCTGAGCCTTCCAGCTCCCCTGGCCACTCCTGATGCCTGTGGAAAACAGGAGTGGCACACAGAGAGAGGAGCCTGATGTGCCCTGCAGCCCTGAGGAGGAAGGGGGGCTGCCATCCAGGCTTGGGGATCCCCTGAATTAAAGAGAGGGCAGGAAGGAAACATTGCACGTGGGGGAAATCTCTCTGTCCCCTGACACCCAGAGCCTCCCAGTTGCCTGGATGCTCAGCACTGGGCAATCAGGACAGACACATCCCAAAGCCACACACAGCCAGTGCAGAGGCAACTGTGCCCAGGGCACCACAAGCACTTTCCTTCGCAATGAGCTTTGGTTTCCTCTCCACCATCAGAGGGAGTCACATTTCTGTCAGGAGCTGTTGTCTCCCAAAGTTGGGGCTCCCCATTATCACTCAGCTCCTGCCCTGCCATTAGGTGCCACCTGTGCTGTCACTGGCAGAGATAACTGTGCATACACGTCACACTGTGCCTCACCACAGACAATCAGGTTTCTCTGCCTGTCCTCAAGGCTTCTGTGCTAACACTATCTGCAGGACCTGGTTTCTGTGCAAATCTTGGACTCTCAGAATGATTTGGATTGGGAGGGACCTTAAAGAACATCTAGTTCCACCCCCTGCCCCGGGCAGGGACATCTCCCACGAGCCCAGGTTGCTCCAAGCCCCATCCAACCTGGCCTGGAACACTCCCAGGGATGGAGCAGCCACAGCTGCTCTGGGCAACCTGTGCCAGTGCCTCAGCACCTCACAGGGATGAATTTCCTCCATAAGTAAAGGATTTCTTCTGTAAAGATTCCACAAAAGCTATCTACAGAACCCAGCGAGCAATACTGAATGCCCAGGCTCCAGCAGCAGCCTTTGTCTGTGAGGAGGTCGTGGAGAAAATGTTTTTAACAGCAGCTCTGACACCGAACCCAGCAGGAGCCCACCTGGCTGCACCTGGAGTGGTCCTGGACTCCAGTGGCCACTCTGCAGCCTGTTCCAGGCTCTCCCTCTCACAGGGTGACTGATTCTGGACCGTTTCCAGCACGCTGCAATCAGTTTTCTCACTGTTCCTATAGATTACACACAGCCTCCCTCCAAGGACAGAGCTGTGCTCCTGCCTTTTGATGCCATCCCAGCCATTATCCTGATCCATTTGTTCTCCTGCTGCACTGAGGGAAAGCAAAAGCTACAGATAAAACCATGCTGAGGTTCTGAAACCTGCGTGGCCGAGGCAGAGCAGCTGCGCTGCCTTGTGCAGTTGTACCTCCATTCTGCTCTCAGACACTTACTGTGACCAGAACTGGGAGCTACATAAGAAATATGCTTAAAATAAGTTAAGGGCTAAAATAAAACCCACCTGGCATTCAGTAACTGAGGTTTATTTACACAAGGGGTTCTGTGCCAGGGATGTCTTGGACTCAGTGTGGGACACTCTGTTTAGACCGTGGTCAGAAGAAATTTCCATGATTTCACAGGAAAAACACAAGGCTCACAGCACGTTACGACACCGAGGGTGGAAAGAGCAGATACCACCGCTCATGATGCAACAGCCCCAGGACTCCAGAGCCAAGAGGCAGAGGTGACACCAACATTATTTACAGGGTAAGTGTGTTTTAAGCCCTGTAAAAATTCCGTTCCTGCCGTGTGTGAGGGACTGGGCTTACCTTTAGGATTTGCAGCCATCCTGAAAGCAGGACACAGCACATTCTGGTTGTTTTGCAAGCTGCACTCCTCTTCCTATCAAGCTGTGGCCCTAGAAATCTTTCCCCTCCTGCTCTTCCCATCCCCCAAGCACCTCTGAGGGAGTAACTTGAGGGCACAGAGGTGCTTATCTTGGCTTTCTGGAGCTCCAGCGTGGCACTAGCACTGTCTCGGTCTGCTCAGAGTTCACCTGTCCCTGCTGATTACATCAGTGCTCAGCTCAGCAGGTC